CTGCACTTTGTGATCTCCATACAGAAGCCCTGTCACAGTATCAAGTCCACCAGTGCAGTTCTTAGATTCCCATACACCAGACCTCAGTCACAATAATCTCTTGAAATCTTGAAAGGAACTGGCAAAGTGTCCTATTGATGGCCACATATTTGGTGTAAGAGAGAGAGAGAGAGAGTGAGAGCGAGAGAGAAAAGTGAGAGATAGATTTGAGTTAACTTGAGTCACAACAGTGTTACATGTGCTCGTCCAGGACCCGACTGGAAAGTTCGTACCTGTGCAGACAGATATTGTAACGGCAGCCGACCCCCAGTTAAAGCATAGTGCAGAACCCTCTTTGGAATCTCCCAACTCTACAAAATATAACAGTGCAGGATCATACATACTTTTTCCATATATACTAAGATGCATGGTATTTTTTGTAATTGGAATATATTTCGCTCGTTTCTAAATTACATATAGATGAGTTCAGTAGTAACTTTTTAATGTTGAGGTCTTTTGAAATATATTAAAGAAAAATATTGAAATTATGGAAGTTGTAAGGTCTCTCACACCTTTCGGCCTTGATCCCCAGAAAATGCAGAAAAGGAGAGTTAAATACAATGAAAATATGCTGTGGTGGATCTTAGTGGTCTGTTCCATGTGTTTGTGAAGAAAAGGCAAAAACTATAAATCAACAATGGTTGGGAGTGTCCAATGAATATGGGCACCCATATACTGGCAGTGTTTACTTGCAAATGCAGTTAAGGCATATGCGAGAGAACCCCATGTAATGAGCACCCTCGTTAACTATTTTATACATCATCTAAGAGGAGTTAGTACCTTATGAAGTGGATCTTGAGATTATATAAGCACTTGAGGATATGGTCCATTAATGGGTGTAAATTATTCACTGCGGCAAGACTGAATGGGGACGCTCTGTTCTTGCGATTGTCTCACTGGCAGATGAATACCTCAGTATTTATTCTAATTCCTTTCCCTTGACTTTAACCCTCCACATGGATGCAGAGCTTTCACCAAGACCCTTGTGAAACTAATGTATGTCAGTGCTAATGAAGGATGAAAGGACAAAAGGCTTACATGTGCAAAATTTCTCCACTCCATACATCATTACTCATGCATGCATGCATACACATACACTGAGACATGGATACTACCACCTGTGACGACACATGCAGATTTGTTCTTTGCACGTGTCTCTTGTTCTTTATTTTATTATTTTTGGTTTGCATTCTCTCCCCCTTTTTATTCAATCACCAAGGATCTTGAAAACAAGTGGTTTCATTTTCATTTATCTATGAGCATGCTATATATGAATGTATATATATGTATACATGTATATTATTTTGTATATATGTATATTTATTTATGTATACATGTGTATATAGTCATGCATGCCCACATTTACACAACATGGACATACATGTATGTAGGTCAATCATTTCCATAACCAGAAGACGTGTCAGCAACACACATCTCCATCCACCACCTACATCTCGAGTGCTCACGCTGCCTCCTCCACTATTTATTTATTTCGTTTACAATGATTTTGGTAGATGTTTTCTACTACCCAGTTTTCTTCATGTGGAATTGGAAAGGAACATTATGCCAAGTGTATAGATATACACCTTTTAAACTTTGGAAGTTTATAGTTTACCCATGACCCCCTCAAGTTGCTGGTTGTCCATTGAAGGTTAACTAAAGTCTCAGGTTTCACAGTTTTCTGTGGATCTTTAAGATGGAAAGTTAGCTTTCGCTCAAGGAGCAAGGGATGGGTATCTCTATCCCCAAGCAAATATTTGTTAATAAGTAGGTGTTAGATCTCCATAGCCTTCTTGATAAGTAATGTGGTCACTGGGAAACAAGAAATTTTTGGCAAGTTCAGTTGTGCAGTGCAAGAGGGAGGAGGTAACAAAATGGGCTTGAGGGAGAAGATGAGAAGGAAGGACCACATAGGCAGGTGGTGGTGCTGGACATTTGCAGTTCACATAAATATGATTGAAGGTTACAGAATCAATATTGAATAACAGGCACTAAAAGGATAAAAATAGAACCAATGGAATAGCTGCTTATCTGAGTTAGAAAAGGCAGAGGTGAAGTGTTAATTGATTTTACTTGTAAGGAGAGGAAGATTTTGAGCTACTTCCCCACCCCCAGTCAAAAGCTCATTACACTGACCAGATTAAGTAAATTTCCAGTCGACAAAACCTGGAAGATGGGGTTCTTTTTTAATGTAGTCTTAGTCCTTACTTAGTCCTTATGTAACCAAAAGTAGTGGTCTTGGGTCAGATTTTTTTCCTTTCATCATATTTTGTAGCAGGAGGTGCCATGTGCACATCACCCCATCCTCAACCACTCCCATGAGTTGCCACGGAACTGCCAGGAGGGTCCACCCAGTGTCACTCCCCAATACATTCTTTCCACGTGTTAATATTAGTATTTCTTGATTCCTTTGTATTTGTAGTGGCCATGATGCTAGTGTGGGTTGCAGCAGAAAATATTCTCTGTGGCACCACACTAGTATGCATCTCAAGTTAGTGCATCATCTAGTGTGTGTGAGACAGTCGGTGTAATGTCATGGCAGCAGCAGCAGCAGTGTCTGGCATGCTGTCTAATTAGCAGGAAGATTAATTGAGCTTAATGTTGGCCTTTCATACCTTCATAATTGTAATTCTGTTCATAGGATTTTGTGTTAGGGGACTGATAGGGGAATCCTTCCTGTTTTATATTTCTAGCATTATGAATTTCTTAAAGCGCCTTTTTGATTTATAATGGGTTAAAGGCTGTAGTCTTAGTGGAAGGCTAAATATTGGTTGTAGAATGGTGGTGCAGGTATATCAACCTGCGTTTAGATCTTATTCTGCCCTATATGTTTATTATTGGGTTATGTCAGGCTTATTTAATCAAAGTGAATTCAGGATGGTAATTAATAGTATTTTAGTTTAAATCTTTTTATGGCAGGGACTCCTGGGTTCCGTGGCTCTGTTGCCCGCCGCTGCCTCCCCACAACATCCTGCCTTGTATAGACCCATGAAAAATGCTTATTTTTCTATGTAAAAAAACAAAAAACATAAAATCGAGGACGGTAGCAAACGGCCGTTGTCGTGATATAACCCGAGCTCTGCTCCCCACCTTCCTCCCCCAGCATGGGAGACCCATCATGATCACTGCGGGTGCGTGAAGCTCATCATCATCATCGGCGTCATCATATAGGTAGTTTTAGGTGTCATTATTATTTAATCAGTAGACTTGCACACAAATACCTGAACTCAAGGATCAGGGGTGACTGGGTCTGCCACCCATGTCTTATTTCAACCAATTATTAATGAACAATGAAAAACTGGAGTGAATACTACCACAGATATGGCCTTACACAACAGGAAGATTTGGTGTTTTAGTATATTCTATTTCAGTTTTAATGTGATAGAATTAGTTCAAATAAAGGATTCACACCAGGTGTTTTACTTTTATTATCCTTATAGCTGTTAGTCAGGATTGTGAACTGTGTTTTAAGATAACAATGCTTGTGACGTGAAAATCCACATGAAAACAATCTGAACACAATTCTAATAAACGAAATGAGAAATACTTTAACATTTTTATTAATAATGAGAGAAGAATGATTTTCCATTGTTTGCCAAAAAATACTGATTAGTAAAAAGTATTCAGTCCAGTTTTCTTTATCCTAAAAGAATTCAGGTATAAGATTTGACACTCACTTGAACTGTACATGGCTCCTGAAACTACCAACTTAAAGTGATCAAGATTGAATTAGAAAATCGACTAGTTATTACACACCACTGAGGTACAGAAAATGCTGGGCAGAGGTGGAGGGAAATGGGAAATCATTTACTGAAGGAATGAATGATGAAAGAAAAAATGGGAAAAGTCGAAAGTAGCAGAATATCCAATTAATTTCGGTGGACTAAAGGTTTTGATTTATCTCTCTTTTATACGTATGTTTTGCATACGCTCTGTGTCTGTCTGTCTGTCTTTCATCTTTGTGGTGGTGTGTGTCTGTGTGTGGTCTGTGTGGTGGTGTGTCTGGGTGGTGTGTGTCGTGTGTTCTGGGTGTCTGTCTCNTCGTGCTCTCTCTCTCTCTGCTCTCTCTCTCTCTGCCTCAATTACTCCTCATACTCTCTTTCTTCTTAATCTCCTGATCAACACACACACACCCGTTCTCTCTCTCTTCTCTTCAACTTCTCCTTCATAGCCTCTCTCTCTTCTCTTCTCTTCTACTCCTCTCTCTCTCTCTCTCCCTCTCTCTCTCTCTCTCGTCTCTCGTCTCTCCTTACACACACACTCACATACATACACAACACAGAGAGCAGAGAGAGAGAAGGATAGAGAGAGACAGAGAGAGAGAGAGAGAAAGAGTCTAATGCAATGGCTTAAAACACGGGCCATATTACCCATTGTTTCCACCACTAGCAACGGCCCCGCATAACCATACGCGAGGCGGTCGTGAGTGGTCTACTTTTTCGAATATTTTTGGCTCCTTTGAGAATGTGTATTTTCTCTCCCGCTGCAACACAAGGAGAGATTGGCGAGTAAATCATTTCGGTCTTGAATGAAAAAAGAGGGTGGGATTCCGCCTCTTTGTACGGGGCGCTTGTAATAGCATCGCTCTGCCCCCCCCTCCCTCTCTTTTGTCCTCTGTCCCCTACCTTCCATACTTTTCCTCTCGGCGATAGACTGCGCGTACGCCGCGCGTACACGCTACGCACACACGCACACACACACACACCCCACACACTACACACACACACAGCACACACACACACACACACACACCACACACACACGACACAACACACACACAGTTAAACACTCATATATTAAATGTGTCATCACCACTCATACACGCACCACCGAAATATAATCACCACCATCATCACTTACTATCAACACCACCACCACCGAATTATCATCACACACCACCCATACCATCATCACCACCACACCACATCACCACCATCACCCACACCACCACCACCACCACCACCACCACCACGTCATCACATCATAAGGAGCATTAAAAAAGAATAGAAGAATATAAGCAGTAGCCGCGGAGTCGGGGGGGGGGGCTTAGCGAACTGTGGGTTTAAAGTCCGCAGAAGTTCCCTTTACAGCCTGCAACTTTTTTCTGCCTCGCCTTCATTAGTCGCGGTAAACAGGCGTTTTTATTCTATTTTAGCTCTCTACTTCTCTCTCGCATTGTTCTCGGCACTTGCATCTTCTCTCTCTCTCTCTCTTTCTCTTTTCTATATCTTGTTCTCTCTCTCTCTCTCTTTGTCCTCTCTTCTTCTCTCTTCTCACACTCTCTTTTTTCTCTCGCTCTCACTCTCTCTCTCTACCTCTCTCTTCTCTCTTTGTTCTCTTCTCTCTTCGTTCTCTCTCTCTCTCTTTCTCTCTCCTCTCCTCTCCCTCTCTCCCCACTCTCTCTCTCTCTCTCTCTCTCTCTCTCTCTCTCTCTCTCTCTCTCTCTCTCTCTCTCTCTCTCTCTCTCTCTCTCTCTCTCTCGCTCTCTCTCTCTCTCTCCTCTTCTCTCCCACTTTTGCTTCTCTTCTCCCCTTCTCTTGTTCTCTCTCCCTCCTCCTCCCTTCTCTCTCTCTCCCTCTCTCTCCTCTCCCACTCTAACTTTCCACACTCTACCCGCTGGCATTGTCTCATCCACCCACATTCGCTTACCCCCTGCTTGACACCCCCCCCCCCCCCGTTTCTTCTCTCCAGCCTAAACGGGGGGGGGATCCCCGACGACGTGGAGGCTAGGAATGAGGTGACGAGATGAGAGGACTGACGTGAATCGGAGCACATTAAGCGACATTTATTGTAGGTACAAGCAGTTCGTGTTGAATGGTGCGTTTTTTCTATTTTTCTTTCCTTTCTTTTTTCATTATTATTAGCTTTACTAGTATATTCGTTGGCGTTTTGTTTTTCTTTTTACTTTTTCATTCTTTCTTTTTTCTTTTTCTTTTTCTTCATTATTATTAGCTTGTACATTCGTCGGCGTTCGCTGCCCCTCCGCCGACGCGCTACCTCCCAGGGGATGCGTAAGGGGGAGAGGGGGAGAGAGGGAGAGAGGGAGATGGCACGGTGATCACAGAGGAGAGTGAATGGTGCGGTTAATGAAGAGGGGGGCGGGGGTTTGATGATCACATTGACAAGAAGGATGATGATAGTGATGACAGGGCGACCGCGGGTGATGATAGAACGGGGGAGGGGAGGGAGGGAGGGGCGGGGAAGAGGGAGGGTGGTTGGAAGTGTAATGACAAGGACCGCGGTGATGTCAGGAGCGAGGGGACGTGATTGGACGATTCATCCCGGGCGCTGATTGGCCCTGGGGGCGTGGCGCGGCTCTTGGTGGCCCGGGGTAATTGGCAGGTTGGGCGTCGCGATGCCTGTTTCCCCTGGGGCTTCACCCTCGCCTCGCCCTCGCCCACGCCCGCGCTGCGCCCCTCGCTCGCCTTTTAAGTTCAGCGTCGGGGGCACGCGCCGGGGAGGTTTTTTCGCTCACACTTTTGTTCCTCAGTTTACGTTGACCCATATTGTTTGACCTTTTAAGTAATAATAAAAAAATAAAGTAAAAAAATAGATATTATATATAATATATATATATATATATATATATAATATATGTATGTTTGTGTGTGTTGTTATATATATATATATATATATATATATATATATATTATATATATATTTGTTTATTTATATTTATTTATGATATATTGATATTTATATTTATATATGAATATATTATATAATAATTATATATATATATATATATATATATATATATATATATATAATATATATGGAATATATATATATATAATATATTTTAAATGTATATTATATCTAATATATATATATATATATATATATATATATATATATATACATATATATATATAATAATATATATATATATATTTATATCTAATATATATATATATATATATATCTAATATATATATATTTATATTTATATCTAATATATATATATATATATATATATCTAATATATATATACATATATACATATATACATATATATATACATATATATACATACATATATATATATATATATATATATATATATATATATGTATATATATGTATATAACATATATATGTATAATAATGTATATATATATGTATATACATATATATGTATATTATATATATATATATATATATATTATAATATATAATATATATTATATATATTTTATATATTATATGTATGTCTATTATTGTACATATATATAATATATATATATAATATAATATATATATATATATAATATAATATATATATATATGTATATATCTATAATTATATACATATATATATATATATATATATATATAATATTATATAGATATGTATATAATATATATTTATATATATGATACATATGATAATATATATGGTATATATATATATATATATATATATATTATATATATATATATAGATAGATAGATAGATAGATAGATAGATAGATAGATATATATATAGATAGAGATATAGATAGAGATAGAGATAGATAGATATATAGATATTTATATATTATATATTTATATATATATATAATTATATGATATTATATATATATAATATATATATATATTATATAAACATATATATTGTGTTGTGTATATGTATATATATATTATATATGTATATATATAATATATATATATATATATATTATATATATATATATATATTATAATATATATAATATATTATATATATACATATATGTATATATATTTACATATATATATGTGTGTGTATATATATATAATATATATATATATATATATATATATATACATATATGTATATATGTATACATATAGTTATATGTTACATATATATATGTGTATATATATGTATATATATATATACATACATATATGTATATATATTACATATATATGTATAAATATATATATACATATATGTATATATATTTACATATATATATGTATATTTTTACATATATAATATATATATATATTATATATATATATATATGTATGTATATATATGTATATTATAATACATATATGTATATATATTACATATATATATGTGTATATATATAAATATATATATATATATATATATATATATATTATATATATATATATAATATACTTACATATATATGTATATGTATATCTATATCTATCTATCTATCTATCTGTCTATCTATAATATATATATATATGTATATATATATATATATATGTATATATATATATATATATATATAATATATATATATATATATATATATAGAGAGAGAGAGAGAGAGAGAGAGAGAGAGAGAGAGAGAGAGAGAGAGAGAGAGAGAGAGAGAGAGAGAGAGAGAGATAAAATTCACAAACAGTACACTACGATAAAACTGCGTTCATAGAAATATCATCGAAAAT